TTGAGACTTAAGGCCTTTTACCGTCAGTGACATGTTTCCGTCCATTGCAGTGACTTTTCTCATTCATGCTCATTTACCCTGAAGTGGGGAAACCCTTTTCAGTTCCTTCTGGTCCTTTTGACAGGACCGTGGCAGTTACTGATGACTTCCTTGCCTTCCGGTAGAGTAAGATGCTGCAGACTTACCTTGTTTAACCCCAGACCGAGGTCAACCATTTCTTCAAGGAGAGACCAAAATCTGAATGCCAGCAGCGCTCCTTGCCAGTGGGTGGCTCATTGTTCTAGTTTTTTTCAGTGGTCAGGGCCAGGAAATACAGACTCAAGTCCGTTGTTTCAACAAAGGTAGAATCCGTGGTTTGACTGACCTTCTTTTGTTTTACGTTTGTACCTCTTTTCTTTGAGGTTGGAGATCTTGATTACCAAAGACATGAGCATAATTATTTATGTGGCTCAGCTCACAATACAGTTTTGGAACAATAGCAATTTTATTACTAGAAACACGAATGCTGAAAGGTTTAAGCCTTTTTTTTGCAGTTCTTTTTCCCTGTAGAGTATATTTCACTACGAGGTAAGGCAATTATAGTGTTTTAAAGCTATCTTAAATTATTTTGTTTGCATGATTAAACCACCAATATATTATACATTTGTTTGATAAGGTGCATTTGTTTTTTGATTTTTTAGGGATTTTTATTTTTTTTTCATTTTACTTGACTTCACATATATAATTGTATGAACATTTACATGACTCCAGAGTCAAATCCACAAAACAAGATTTATTTGGGAGGACTCGGCTTCTATCCCAGCCCCTACACCCTATTCTTTCTCTGATTCTATTTATGTCTTGTTTGATTTTTTCATTTTCATTTTTAGTTGAAATTTGGTATATATGCCAAGTTTTTAAAAAGTTATGTGAATTTAATGCAAGGACAAGTTTGATTGTATCTCAAAGGCATTTAAAAAATATGTGCCAGCTGGGTGTCATGGCTCACGCCTGTAATCCCAGCACTTTGGGAGGCCGAGGTGAGCAGATCACCTGAGGTCAGGAGTTTGAGATCAGCCTGGTCAACATGGTGAAACCCCGTCTCTACTAAAAATACAAAAATTAGCCGGCGGTAGTGGTGAGCATCTGTAATCCCAGCTATTCAGGAGGATGAGGCAGGATAATTGCTTGAATCCAGGAGGCCGAGGTTGCAGTGAATCAAGATTGTGCCACTGTACCCTAGCCTGGCTGGCAGAGTGAGACTCTGTCTCAAATAAATAAATAAATAAATAAACTAAACTAAAATAAAAATGTGTGCCAAAGTTCAGTGTTAGCTCCACTTCACAAGCAGATGTCAGTGACGTCAAGAAGTCAAGGCAGCAGGATGGGCGGAGCCCTGGTGTCCACCTGAACCACAGTCGGGAATCGCGGTGTCTCACCAGGATTCCATTGTGGAGAACAAGGCCCACGTTGCTTACGCAGGAAACCGCTGATTAGGAGATATGATAGAATCGTCTGTGGAGCCGAATGAGCAGGCTACAGGCAGAGCTGTCAAGGGTGGTTTCCAAGCCATAGGGCCGAGCTAGAGTTGCTGACTCATCACATCCAGAAACCAGTGAATCCAGAACCACCTGGAATCAAGGAGCTGCTCCTGCTGCAGCCAGCTCGGAGCCACAGTGCTCCCGCATCTCTCGATATCCAGTGCTTGGACACGATGCTACCAAGCAAACCAGATACCTCCGCCCTGGGCGGACCGGCGATGTGCAGGCATCTGCCCGCTCCCCTCCACATCCCTAGAGTGCATCTCACCCACCAGGGCTGCCAGAGCCTGAAAAAGGTCATTCTCCTCTTCCCATCTGCTGCCATTCAAGAAGAAAGAAGAGAGGCTAGATGGAAAGAAGGATGAGGACCCACACAGGGAGGACGATGCCACCTGGAGATGACCTGTTCAACATTGCTGGGTTAGCAACGTCGGACACTCCGGGGCAGGGCCGCCACCCTGCAGCTCTGCCTTGGGCCCCCTGAGGGATTTCTCAAGGAGATTATTTCTTATCTTTTTTTTTTTTTAATGTTGATTAGAATCTATAACATTTCTCTTTTTTCTTGACATATTGGGGGACGTATTTTTGGGGTATTTTGACACCTGTGCATGATGTGTAACCATCAAATCAGGATAATCGGGATATCCATCATCTCCAACATTTGTTGTTCCTTCTGTGGGAAACATTATAGGACTTTTCCCTAGCTGTTTTGACATATACAATAAATTACTGTTAAGCATAACTTCCCTGCAGTACTGCAGAATACTAGAACTTATCCCTTCTATATGACTGCATTTTTGTACCCCCGTCCGCCTCTCTCCCCTCCCCTTCCTGACCTCTGGGAACCACGATCCTACTCTCCACCTCCATGAGGTCTGATTTTTTAGCTCTCATAGGTGAGTGAAAACACGAGATATTTATCTTTATGTGTCTGCCTTATTTCACTTAACACAATCACCTCCAGTTCTATTCATGGCGCTACAGTAACAGGAGTTCATTCTTTTATGTCTGAATAATATTCCATTGTGTATATATATCCGGTTTTTAAATCCATCCGTCTGTGATGGAAACTTAAGTTGATTCAATATCTTGATCACCGTGAAGAGTGCTGTGATAAACACAGGTGTGCAATACCTCTTCCACATAGTGATTTGCTTTCTCTCTCTCTCTTTCTTTCTCTCTCTCTCTATTTTTATTAGACTTTAGGTTCTGGGGTACATGTGCAGAATCATGCAGGATTGTTGCATAGGTACATACATGGCAATGTGGTTTGCTGCCTCCATCCCCCCATCACCTATATCTGACATTTCTCCCCATGTTATCCCTCCCCAACCTCCCTACACCCTGCTGTCCTTCCCCTAGTCCCCCCAACAGACCCCAGTGTGTGATGCTCCCTTTTTTTGTTGTTTGTTTTTTTTTTGAGACAGAGTTTTGGTCTGTTGCTCAGGCTGGAGTGCAGTGGCTCAAACTTGACTCACTGCAACCTCTGCCTCCTGGGTTCAAGCAATTCTCATGCTTCAGCCACCAGAGTAGCTGGGATTACAGGCACACGCCACCAAGCCCAGCTAGTGTTTTGTATTTTTGGTAGAGACGAGGTTTTGCCAGGTCAGTCAGGCTAGCCTCGAACTCTTGACCTCAAGTGATCCACCTGCCTTGGCCTCCCAAAGTAACAGTGGGGATTTTTAAAGGAGGATCCTGCCTGTACAGGATGTGTGCCCTGGGCTTTCGGTTCTAGCTCTTCGTAAGTAGGATTCAATCCTGCTGGTGTCATTGTTAAAATCCAGCAGAAGATTGGCTCTTGGACTTGACATCCAGAAGGTTTTCTGATGCCCATCACCAGGAATACACTGTACTTTATGACTAGATTTTTGAAGTATCTTCAACCCTGGTTTTTAGGACTGAAAAATGCTTTTACAGTGACCCCCCACCCCCACCGCTGCTCCATCACACGGGAATGTGCTGGATGATTGAAATCTTGGCGGGTGGTGGGTGGTTGCTGGGAGGCATAAAGTATTGTCAGAATAAAGCCAATACCACGTGGTCCAAGGACTGCTTTTTCCCAGGACAGCAAGTTTCTAACATTCAGCAACGTGATACTGAAGACCCCTAGAATCCAATAAAGAAATGCTGAAATGTTGTCAAATAATTCTCAATAACCCATCTCTGAAAATTTGTGGTTTCTTAAGAGAATGGGTCATGTTCACTCCCACCTCAATCTAAGAGAGAATCATTCAAAATGAAGGCACCAAGACTAGTTGGATGGAAAAGTGTCCGTGGAGCGCTGTGTTAGTGGGAGGCTGCTGCTGACCATATTTGCTTTGCAAAGTAGAAAGTGCTGTTTGACTGGGAGATGCTGGTATCAACCCCTTGATCAATGTCATTGATCTGTCATCTGCTGGATTGAGCCTGTCACTCAAATATGGGCTGCTCTGTCATCTGCTTTCAGTTCACTAACTTCGAGTAGAGGTAACAACCCAACGTGTCACTGGGAATGGAAACCAGAGCCTTTAACAATGTCTCGGCTTTTGCCTTTTGGCTCCATCAAGAACTTCATAGAGTTAAACCACAAAAGGATCTTCCGAAGAGCTCAGGTGGGCACCTGTGCAGGCATTTTGACAAAGGGTAGCAACAATGGCATTCAAATGTGTAAATTCATTGCTTTATATAGCGCCGGAGAGTTTGCCAATTTTTTTTTTCACATCTAAGCAAGGACACAGTTTATTATCCCAAGAAAGCCCAAAGGTTGTATAATAATTGTGTCCTATTCTTTTTTTTTTTTGAGAGGGAGTCTCAGTCTATAGCCCAGACTGGAGTGCAGTGGTGCTGTCTCGGCTCACTGCAACCTCCGCCTCCTGGGTCCTGGTTCAAGCAATTCTCCTGCCCCAGCCTCATGAGTAGCCGGGATTACAGGCATGTGCCACCATGCCCAGCTAAGCTCTTTTGTATTTTTAATAGAGACGATGTTTCACCATGTTGGCCAGGCTGGTCTTGAACTCCTGACCTCATGATCCACCAGCCTCAGGCGTGAGCCACCGTGCCCAGCCTCTATTCTTCTTTTTAGACACAGTCTTGCTCTGCTGCTCAGGCTGGAGTGCAGTGGCTCACTGCAACCTCTGCTTCCTGGATTCAAGAGATTCTCCTGCCTCAGCCTCCCAAGTAGCTGGGATTATATGCACGCATCACCATGCTCAGCTAATTTTTGTATTTTCAGTAGAGATGGGCTTTCACCATGTTGGCCAGGATGGTCTCAACCTCCCAACCTCAGGTGATACTCCCTCCTTGGCCTCCCAAGTTCTGGGGGATTATAGGTGTGAGCCACCGCGCCCGCCCCTATTCTTGAAGACTGTCCCCAGGTAACAATCCCAGTAGTGTCTTTCTACTGCAGCAAGATTAAAGCCAAAATAATAGTCATCCAATTTGCTGTGAAAACACATCACCTTCTCGTACTTGCTGCCCTAAGGAAAACGTGCAATAGAAGAATCTTTCAGAACACCATGTCTTTTTTTTTTTTAAACAAAGTCGCATGCAACAAAGCACTTTTTTACATATGTGAAAGGAAGCCCTGACAGGATTTTCCATACTCAGTAATGAATAAGTACCCCAAGAACTGCATATTTACTTCCGTGAATCTTTGTTGTGTGATATTTAACTCAAGTCCAGGGAGCCTGTGCGGTCCTGCAATGAATACTCACACAGAGATACCTTGTGTTACTTAGGGTATTAATACACTGGCTTTACTAGCCTCATCACTGACTTAATTTTTACAAGAAAAAACTCAAACTGAATCAATCATCTATTATTTCCTAAATTGATGACATTTTCATTTCGGGTTTAATTCAGCAAATCCCCCTCCTCAAAAGAGAGAAATGCTGTCAGTTACCCGGCTAACTTGCAGGTGACGTTGGAAACGCTGCTAAATGTCACTGTGCCTCATTTTCTCCTATTTATGAAGTCGGTCACTGCCCAGGTAATGACTCCGAGGGACTGACAGTACAACAGGACAGAGACTCCGAATTCTGTTAACAAAGGTTTTCTCCAGCAGCCATCAGTATCACAGACTCCAACGCTTTAATTCATTGTTAAAGTGTTTTAAAATAGAAAAGATATGCGGTGAAGAAAGCGTGTCCATACTATTGAACTGGGCTGTTGGTTCTGACAGCCCCAGGGCGGCTGGGCGTCTCAGGTGAAATCCACCATGCCCATCTCTCCAGGCAGAGGAGCCTGCAATCCAGCTTGCACTCCCCTTCCAAAGCGTCCCTGGGGCCTCTGGTCCTCTGGTCCTCAGGACTGTACTGAGTCCTCTGCTGTTCAGGACCAAAGCGGAGCTGTTTTTCTTTCAAATTAAACTCTGAACTCTCTCTGCTGGAGAGAGACAGAAAGAGACACACCGACAGAGCCAGAGAATGACACAGGAGCATGCAGCAGACAGAGAGACAGAGAGACAGGCAAAGAGGCAGAGAGGCAGAGAGACAGAGAGACTGCGGGGGCGAAACAGGCTACCAGGCAGCTCCTCTACTAGTAGTAAAAGCCCTCCCCATCTGGGAAGGGGGAGATGTGGCCATCTGGGTCCTTAGCCCCACACAGGGTTGGTAAAAGAGCGGCAGATCGCTGCTGTCACTGAGCAAAGAAGCCAGGGAAAGGCCAGTTCTGGAAAAACAGGCCCTTTTCATCAGTGAAGTCCCAGGAGGGGTCGCACCCCAGCAGGGTCAGGACAGCTGGGGGGCCTGGCTTCTCTCTCTTTCCTTAAATTTTTATTTGAGAATTATAAAGAAAGGGATCAGGAAAGCTATTTTGCTGCGCTGGAGGAGCCAGGGGCCTTCCCAGCGCCGAGGAAGGAGGGCGGTCAGGCCGGGTGGGGCTGGGTGCGGTGGCTCTGTAGAACCTTTAGTCATCGGACTGTGGGGCCGCGGGTCTGGGGCGCAGACACGGAGTCACGTGCCTGCGAGGGCCCGCTCCTAGGCGTTCTACCTTCCTTGACGGACTGTTGGGAAAACGGCCCCTAGAACGGCCAGAGCCAGGGCCCCCGGACAGGGGCGCGAAGGGCCGGCTCTCTGCCGTCCTCCTCTGGTTTCCCAAGGCGGTGGTCGCGGCCCGCGGGCCCCACCTCGTGGCACGCCTGGCTGGCTGGAGAAGCAGCAGAGACCGATCGCTTTCCGGCCTCGGGTTCAACTCCACTAAGAGGGCCCAGCCCGCCCTTGATCACGCAGCTTGCCTGACAGCCGGCTTAGGCCCGGGCCTAATTGAGCCCGGGTCACCTGGGAATAGGTTCAAAGGCATCAAAGCCGTAAACCACCTCCAGGCCCAGAGCCAGCGCGGCCTGGCAAACAAAGAGCCCCCAAACCACTTCAAACGCGCTCGCGCTCGGCGTCCAGATGGCTCGGGGCCGGGGTCGGTGGTGTCGCTCGCCGAGGCCGGGCCCCACACTCCAGCCACACTGCGTCCTCCTGCTCGGAGCTGCCCGCGGGCGCCCAGCGCAGCGGAGGCCGGGCCGGGGCAGCCTCGTGCAGCTCCCCGAGCGCTCTCCGTCCTCTGCTGACCCGCGCAGCGAAGGCGGAGCACTGAGGCTGGGGCGGCCGGTAGGCGCCCCAACCCACGCCTAGCACCCCGGGCAGGGCCAGGCAGGCGGGCGCGCCGGGCACCGGGCGCTCCCGCAGAGGCTCGCTGTGGCGTTGTTTTAAGACAGTTAGAAGGAAGGTTCGGGAAGGGCGTCGGGCCGGGGCTCCCCAGCAAGCCCGGCTGAGAAACGGTCCCCGACAGGCACGCTGGCCCGAGGGGTGGCATCTCTGCGGATCTCGGCGGCACGTCTGTGGGCACGGGAGTCTCCAGGCGTCCCCGACTGTCCTCACGTTGGCGGTCAGGGCACAGAGACAGCTGCCCGCGCAGCTCTCCAGACCTCAGGCCTGAGCGTGCGGCCCGCGGTGCAGACTCGCCGCGCGCCCGGGGCGGCCAAGACCCACACAGGTTTAGGAGGCTCCCGGCTGCGTCCTCATCTTCGGGGAGCGCATCTGGGGCTGGACTCGCCTCTCGAGCCCCTCGCGCCTCTCGAGCCCCTCGCGCCTCTCGTGCCCCTCGCGCCCAGAGAGAGACCCCGCCGCCAAGGCCAACTGGGGGCCGATCTCCAAGCTAAGGCGCAGATAAAGCCAGGCTTGGCCAGGCCTAGGCTGGGGCGGCCGGAGAGTGGCCCGCGCTCGGGGTGGGGGAACGGGCGGCGGGCGAGGACCCGGCCCCCGGGATGCCCTCAGCGGCCGGGGCCGAAGAGGGAGGCAAAACTGAAAGTGCCGCGCCGGGGGGCGGGGGCGGCCGGCGAAGGCCCCAGAGCTTGTCCTGCCCCCCGCCACCGCGGCCAATCAGCGCGCCGCCCTCGCTCCTGACAACTATTTAGCAACCCAGCCCGGCTAGAGTTTCCAAAAAAGTTAGAATAACTTCCTCTCCCGGAGACCTCGGTTTTGCACAAGCCGGCCTTGAAACCAGAGCCTTTCCAGCAACTCCGAGAGCGTGTGCTCAGCGACCGCGGGCTTGGCCAGCGGCGCGCGCTCGGCGCCCCGGCGCCCCCAGCCCCACGCGCGCCGGGCGGGCGCCATGGAGGAGGGCTCCAGCTCGCCCGTGTCCCCTGTGGACAGCCTGGGCACCAGCGAGGAGGAGCTCGAGCGGCAGCCCAAGCGCTTCGGCCGGAAGCGGCGCTACAGCAAGAAGTCGAGCGAAGATGGCAGCCCGACCCCCGGCAAGCGCGGCAAGAAGGGCAGCCCCAGCGCGCAGTCCTTCGAGGAGCTGCAGAGCCAGCGCATCCTGGCCAACGTGCGCGAGCGTCAGCGCACCCAATCGCTCAACGAGGCCTTCGCGGCGCTGCGCAAGATCATCCCCACGCTGCCCTCTGACAAGCTGAGCAAGATCCAGACGCTCAAGCTGGCCGCCAGGTACATAGACTTCCTCTACCAGGTCCTGCAGAGCGACGAGATGGACAATAAGATGACCAGCTGCAGCTACGTGGCCCACGAGCGCCTCAGCTACGCCTTCTCCGTGTGGCGCATGGAGGGCGCGTGGTCCATGTCTGCCTCCCACTAGCGCCGCGCCACCCACCTCCGGACCGGCGCGCCAGGGTAGGTGCTGCGCGCGCGACGGGCGCCCTCCGTTGCAAAGGGCGAAGGGGGGACGGCAGGGGCGCACGGGCTGGGGGCTGCGCGTGTCTCCTTGGGGAGGCCCCGCGGGCCGCGGCGGCGTGGCTGCGGTGCGCTTTTCCTCCTAGTGAAGGACGGAGGGCGGGCGGGACGCTCCCAGTCCCAGGGACACCCCCGAGGGCCTTTGCACAAGCGAGGGTGTCAGTTGGGAAACGAACCGTCGGACCGCAGACTCCCCCGGCAAGGCCCGAAGGCACTTAGACTGCCGCATTTTCCATTCTCGGTGGTGTATGGGTGTCCGTGGTTGGCGGTGGAAGGAGTGGGCATCAGAAAAACCTCCTGGGGCCGGCCGGGGACCTGGAGATGGGGACCCGCTGCCCTTTGAGTCGCCTTAGCGCAGGCCGCTCGCGAAGCTGCCCGAGCCGGGTTGTGCGGGGCAAATGGCTTCGCTCTCTTCCCGGACAGGGGCTGAGCGCGTTCGTCCGGTGGACACTCAGATCTCCCCAGCTGCTCGCGCCTGTGGTCCCGGCAGTCGGCGCCCTGGCCGACCCTGTGGGCGTGGAGGCGCGGGCCTGAGGCTCCACGGTTTGCCTAGGGAGAAGGGGAGGAAACTGCCCAGCGCTTCGGGGCCAGAGCAGCCACGGGACAGGGAGTGCGGGAGGACTCTGGGCGGAGGGCGCAGAGCCCGAAGCTCAGAGGCCGGGGGTGGGGAGCGGGGCGGGGGGTTGGACGCAGCCGCGCAGAGCCCAAGGCGGTCGGCAGGCAGGTGGAGCCGACCTCGGAACTGGGAGACCCCGGGTCCCAGCCTTGACCCTGGAGTGCCTGGGAGGGGCCCCGCCGGTGCTGCGTCCTGGCCCCGCAGGGGTTAGCGAGGGGTCCAGGGTGGGAAACAGATCTAGGGGACAGGGAGGCGGTGCGCGCCGGGCCCTGCGCGAGGAGAAGGCTCCTGGGACACAGCTGCCAGGAGCACTCGGAGCTCTGGTTTCCTCTGGAAGAGCGATTAGGGCGTCCTGCATCGGTTCCTTTTCACCAGACACCTTCCAAGTCCCTTCAGACAAGCTTGAGCCACAGAGGCGCCGCCCTTTCTCCGAGGCTCTGTGAGCAGGCTAGCCCCTCTCCCCCCCTCCATCCAGGGCAGTGGAGGGGCACAGGGTTCTTTTTGTGGGGGGCGCGTTAAAAATCCTTCCTCCTTAGTATGTTGTAGTTCCTCGCACATCTTGCGATGTTTTTGTAAAAGTCTCTACTTCGCACAGAAGGAATTTAGATTAATCAAGAGCACCCGGCCGCCTTTTCTCCCAAACATATCTATTTCTTTTTTATGTGGTTCTATAATACCTGCGAATGTTGTTGCTGAGGTCACGAAAAGCTGATCTAGCGCAGGTGGGTTTTATTTTTCTTTTTTAAAGCTTTTATTTCGGTGTATCTGAAAATCCTTTCGACGAAAGAGCCTCCTGAGATAGTGATAATTTTATAGTTTTAAAAAAAGGATTTTCAATAGAAAATAACTTGTGGGAATCTTCTCCTGTCTTTGTCAAAAACAGATGGAAAGTGTCTCAATCACATATTTCTCTAGGAAAGTTTGGATTGGCTTGAGTACTAAATGCTACAGTGGGGTAATACATTAATTCTGGTTTTTGCTGCCTAAATAATGAGCTTCCATTAGTTATTTCCATTTATGCTTTACCTCATTCATGGTTTACAGCACATCTGAAATAAGAACAAACAGATGAGGAATGTCATCTTTTTAAAAACACACACATTGAGGCTTGTTTAAGGAAAATGTCACTGGAATGATCATGAAGACCGCCCTCCAGAAAATTACTGAAAACAGATACTAGTAGATATAATGCTGCTAGAGGTTAGCAGAAACGTTAAAAATTCATTTAAAAATACGTGCGCTCCTCAATACTTAGAGAATCAGTCATAGGTAACCATTAAAGATTGTAGAAAAATAAAATGCAATACATGTAATAAGTAAAAACAGTGCTAAGAACTTGTTTGAAAAAAAGCCCTTCAAAATGTAATCGATAATTACACAGTTAGTGGGAGAGCCGATGATCTATACCGAGCCTGTTTATTTTTATTTTTACGTACTGGACTGTAAGTGAGTAGTTCAGACTAGTTAGTTTCTTTAAACAGATACTCTAAAAGAACAGAAGAGAAACACGGACATTTTTTTATACCCAAATGATTCAGGACACACGTTGGTTTTACTTGTCAGGCATGTTAGACAAACATCTTGTCATTCTTTTTGTTTTTAACTCATTATTTCCTATAAGCATCAATACAGTTGTAACTGGGGCGACTTCCTGAAAATGTCGCTAAACAGTATTTGCTATTTATCTGCAGCATTTCTAAGAAGCATTTACTATATGCATCAGCCAAAAATCTCTAGACATTTCAGCAAATTGTATGTGATTTTAATGTTGATGCGGGATGTTTTCGTGTATATGTATAAGAAAACCGTGTCTAGACTAACAACAACAGCGCACAAAGCCTAAATTGTCCTTTGATGCGAAGAGAAATGTAAGAGATGGTGGCATGCGGCTGGTGCTGATAACCATCCTGCCTTTCTTCTTTGGCCTGGTATTCAAAAGCACAATTACACAATAAATCAGGTGTCTTTGGCCAGTCAGTTGGATTCATCTGATGGAAAAATCTCAAAAGGAGTTTTTAGTATTGTCAGGGATTGCCTGAGCCTTCGGAGCAGAGTCTGGGCCACCTGGCTTGGAGGGTGGGGGAAGGCGACCATTACTTACCAGACCTTCATCTTGCTCCCTGCTGTGTGGTTAAAGAAGACTTCTCTAACTTCTGCAAAGTGTGCAGAAAGATTTTCAACAGGTTACCTTACACCACAATTTTTTTTTCTGAAAATTTCAGCTACTTTGAAGAAATTGCATGACCCCTTCACTCTCTAATATACATTAGCCTTTTCCTCCCTCCTGAAAATGTGCTTCTCAAAGGTGTTAACTGCTGTATTCTGGATACTAAAAAGTCTGTTCTTAGTGAAGAACAGAAATGCAGAATTCCAGTGGAGCTTCTGATTGCTTAGAAGAAACAGAATGAAAGGTGGAGCTCCCTGGAGTATAAGCAACGTTTTGTTACAAAATACCCATCAATAAGATCTGATGTAGGGATTTGACCTGTCAATGTGCGTCTTGTCCCCTTCAATACCAGCGGTCCTTCCTGTGTCAGGGAAGTCTTGCTCCTTGTCTTGCTGGAGAGGCGCTTCCTCGGACTTCAGCGGCCGTTTGGGGTCATTTGAGATAGAATTCTTCAGCGACGTTTTCTGAAACTCATATTTTCAGACAGATCTTGAGCTGAACCATGTTTCCATCATGCTTGCTTTACTCTCTACTGGGTAGACGGCACAGATGCTGGATTCCTTTTGCCTGGCCAAAAAAAAATTAAAGAAAAAAACCCACACACATAAAGTAAACTCTTTCTGAGCGGAGCACTATAACTCATAACTTTAGTTTAAATCTGGGCTTAAAAAAAACAAATATTTTAATAAGCCAATTTTAAAGGCTGAACTTTTATGACAGCTCTTAAGCTTAGTATTTATATTAATCTGTTCTCACTGGTGTCTTTAAGAGCCCTGTGAATGCATGCTGGAATGTCTGTGTATGTTTGTGTCTTTTCCTGGGAAAGGGTAAATGTGCTGCATAAGGCAAACCAAATACAGAGCTCTCTGGAGCAGAGCGTTCACAAATGAGGCAATACAATCCAAAGGAGAGATGGGTAAGTTACCGTAGCCAAGGAATGGAAAGCCGTAAAGGAGAAGCAGAAGCTGATAGATACGGACATGGATGTTTTCAAAGGAAAGCCAGGATGAAGCACTAAAAACAGAAACTGATTAAAAGATATTCCACATGGTCACCCGAGTCTACATGGGACAAAACTGCATAGCGCTAAACGCACACGCGCACGCACACATACACGCACACGCGTGCACACACACACGCAAGCACGAGTGCATGTAAAACTGGTGGAATCTGAATAAGGTCTGGGGCCGATATTGGCACGTTCACTGGTTATGATAATTGTACTGTTTTTGCAAGACGTCATCACTGGAGAAAGGATGAAGATATGAGAATCTGTATAATATTTCTTGCGACTTCATGTGAATCGCCGATTATCTCAAAATTAAAATAAAAAAGATAGTCCACAAAATAGTAAATCTCTATATTTAGATAAGCAAATAATCTATGAAATTACTACTAAGCTTTATCTCAGAGTAATAAACTAAAAATATGACTTGGGCAAAACTCCACACTTTTTTTTTCTGATGGTATTTGAGGAATCTCAATGTATTTCCAGTATGTAACTCATTAGAAGTGGTTCCTTATAGGTCTTAAATAAAGAGTTGTATTCCAGAAATGTGAAAGGAGAAATACCAATTATAATAGCAATACATTTATTCTGATACTAATAAATGAAATATTTTACAAAGAAATTCTGGGAAATATCTACCTTAAACCAGTTCCCGGTGTCACAGTTGCTTTTTAAGATACTAATTCTACGTTAATTTTCTTTAAGCATACACACAGAATTCTAAAGCCAGCGACTTATAAAAATTATTCACCAAGAAGCACAGAGATTGAAGTTTTAGTATTTGGAGCCATACGCAGTGAGAGGGAGAGGACATAGCAGAGGAGACACACACACACACACACACACACACACGAGCTCAAACCCTAAGCCCAGTTATAGTTATTTTAAATTAATAATTGTTTTAGAAACATATTTTGTGTTTTTGTTTGGTAGAAAACCTTTGAATGAGTTTAGTGATATTAAACTCCACCTTACCTGAATGCTGATTTCCAAGTGAGAGCTGTAGCGTTAAGAAGGTCAGTTTTAAGTTGCTGTAAACTGAGGCACAGGGGGATTCTCTTCTGTGATGATTAATGGTTGTCGCTTCAAAAGCAGACTTGGATCCGAAATTGGAAAAGCCAGCGCGTAACTTGATTCCAACATGAGGGAAGTTTTTTAGTGTTTAGTTCAAAATAGAGTCATTTTGAACCCTAACTGTATGGGACATGCTTCAGATATCTGGGCGATTTCATCCACACTGCAGTGTTTAGAAGCATAGGGCGACCCTGTGATCGTGAGGATGAGGGAGCGTGACTGTGTGAGCCGACGGCAGTGTCGGCCAGGGCTGCCACTCACTGAGCAGTTTCCATCATAATATTGTTTTCCTCTGTTATTCGGCCAGGGAAAGACGCAGATGACCCAGCTTCTGTCGAAGCCTCATGTAAAACTGTAATTTGACTTCTCAGATCCTGAGAGAGATGCCTTTAAAACTGGACACATCTTTCTTTAGTTCAGGATTTCCCCTTCACTGAAATGAAAGACAGGGCTGAACTCAAAGAGCTTTCAGTTATAAAATTCTGTGATCCTGGAAAATACTCCTGTCTTTTTAGTTCGCATTCTGCCTTTAAGAGAATATCCATCAGCATCTTCTGGGGGGAAATGCGAGGGAGATTTCGTTCTGTGGTCTGGCATTAGGTTCCTGTTTCTCACGGTCTGATTTGATGGGCAGTTCACCTCTGTGTTTCTGGGTGTGCAGCTCTGGTGTGTGACTGACAGAAAAGATTTGGGCAAAGCCCTGGGTTTTGATTGACCTTCCACCTTGACCAAACATCGCACCCCACCCTGTGGCTGAGGTTTGTGGTGTGGTCACAGCAGAACCGTTCCCGCGCCAGGCAGAGCGGCTCCTCCCCAGGCGAGGCGAGGGCCGCTTTTTAGCCTCTTGCTGTGAGAGGGGAGGGTGACAGAGCCTGTTGCTGTCTTCCCCGTGGAGAAAAACATGTTGAAACCTCTATCGTTACTACTGGTTTTCTGTTGCTATACAGTCAAAATGCCACCGTAGCGTTTCTGTTAAGTCTCCCAAGTAGACGCCCCTGAAGGGCTGAGGGATTCAGGCCTGCTTCCGAGGTGGGGCTCCATGGGCAGCCTGGAGTAGAACGACCCCCTAAAAGAAAGCACAGGCCAGTCCTGTGCAATCGCGGGCTCTGCTGCCACGCGGCTTTGTCTGTTCTCCTTTGAATTCGCATTCCGTATGTGAAAATGCAAGCAGCCAGCGTGTTCTTTTCATCATGAGATCTAGAAGCACCGTTGTCTTTCCCTCATCTCGGCTCTGAGTGGTTCCTGTGACCGGTGCACAGAGGGCTCGGAGCCGCAAGCTGGCTGCCTGCGTTGACTCCCAGGACCTCTTACCTCTTCATTTCCACGACCCTGGCTTCTAACTGCACAGAAGAGTGCGCAGGCGTGAGCTAGCCTGCAGGCTTGGCAAAACCTATACCGGCTGAGGCCCTTCCGGAAAGTTTGTGTGAACTTTAAATCTCAGTCTAAGGAGATTGTTTTGTCTTGATAAATAACAGAAAAAGGCCGTTATCATTTCCTTGGGAAATGACTAAAATGCTGCAGACTGGAAGTAGAGGGAAAGGAGGAGGCGAAGGCATAGTCTTCTTCTCGTATCAGGCAGCCAGACGTCTCTGTTCACATCTCTGGAGCTGACTGGGGAACAGCATCTTCATTGAGGATTAATTTTCCTGAAATCAAACAATCCCCAGCTGTATACTACAGAGATCCTGGTTTCCGAGTAGTTGACATCTTAGGAGTGTGCCCTGCCGTCTGCTTTTCTGTTTCATGATCATCTGCAAGTGTAGCTGGGAAGCTAAGAGAGAAACGTGATCATTTCACGTTATTTTTTTCTGTCTGGTGAGTATTTCTTCTCCAGCAAGTCCCTCCTACTGCTTCCCCCAACCCAGCCCACGCTCTTATACATTCTTTAGCCAAAACAGTGTCTTTTAAAAAATGATTAACTGAAGTCCCTGCGAGCTTCCACTGTATAAAAAAGTGACAAAGCTCACCACCAGGTCCTGTGACAGCTCAGTCACTCGTGGAGGGCAAATACAGAATGACAGAGGACCCTCTAAGCGGAGTGCGTCTGGGGGCTCTGGAAGCCTCGTGCGGCTGTAGACGTGTGCTCAGCGCCCACCTTGGTGTGTGCTTGGCAATTTTCTCTCCTTCGTGGGCTTGGGTTGCTATTTTCTAGATGTACTATTTCACTGATACTAGAACAGGAGTGCCCTAATCAGATATCTGTACCCTAAGAATCCCAAGGTGCTCTGTTTTCGTTGATTTCTCTCATGCAGAATGACCTGTTTCAATGATCCCCAAACTCCCTGGGAGCCGAGCGGTGGCTGTGGCAGAGGGGGTGCATCCAGGACTGGCATTTTATGGTCCTCGAGGTAGGGCTGGGAGAGGGCTTATCTTGAGGACCTGTTAACAGGAGGAGTCCATGTGTCCCATGCGAGCAGGCAGCATTGGAAGGGTAGAATTCACTGAAGGGCATTTTACTGGATGTTAAATTATTGCTAATTCCAAAACTTTCTTTCAGGCAATTTTTTTTTTGAGAATAGAGATTTTCTTCTAATTAAACAATAAGCAAATGATGAGCACAGTTCCTCACCTCGCTGTTCACCTCAGTGTGGCTGCTTGCTTTGCTTCAGTTCACGAGGGAACAATGTCATGTAATCTCAGTGTGGAACAACACAGTCTCCATGTGCGTCCCCAGCAACTCTGTGAACATTAATCTATCATTTATCATTTATAAATGGAAAAGGTTGTTTTCTCATGAAGGACAAAGTAAAAGACAAGATTAGGATGTGAATAGGCCAAGTGATACAGAAAGAATTTCTTGAGGGATCAGGACCGTGGAGGGGATTCGTGTCCCCTAAGAACGGGTCCATTCTGTATTTATCACCAGGTTTGTGTTGGGGCCGTGTGCCTCTCTCTGCTGCCGGCCGAGGGAGACCCAGCACCTCTTCCTCAATGTCCCTCAGAGACCCAGAAGACAGTGGTTTTTCCAAAGAAGCACCCTTCCTGCCATTCCCAGAAAAATATCACCGTAAAAATCCAGCAGGCCCTCCACACTGCCTCAATAGAGGGAGACTGTCCCAGACACAGTGACTGGAAAAGAACCTCAGGTGCTTTGCCTCCTGTTTGCTCTGCGGCATCAATACAGCTCAGCAAAGTGCATCAAAGAAGCCCCAGAGGAGGCTCTGCCTCTCAGGGGCCTGTGACAATCGCAGGTGCTTCAGATGCCAGAGAAAGCGGAGGTCCCCCGAGGAAGGTGGTCAGGGGCCAGCTGCTGTGCGTGGGGTCAGGGACCGCTGGAGGGGGCTTGGGTTGGCCTGGAGCTGTTCAGGCGAGGGACACTCTGGGTGTGGTGCCCCTGCCTGACCGGAGGGCCCTCCTGTGACAGAGGAGGGAGCAAGAGGAAGGACGCTGCTCTTGCAGGCAGCCGCTCCAGCACCCTGGCCCTTCCCTTGGTCCCCGAGGCCGAGTGGGCCTTGAAGCTCTTTGATGAGGCTCAAGTCACCCATCAGGTCATGCTGATGAATGTCTGAGCGTGAGCCCAGCACAGCTCAGTGTTTGCCAAGGTTAAGGAAAGGAAGTGGCAACTCAGCATTGATTTCCTCCCCCTGGATTTAATAGCAATAGATCCAGCCGTGCAGTCAGGTACCACTTTAAAAGGCCCGGCTCATCTACAGACGGCTTCCAGGAGAGGATCACGCCAGGCTGCCGCCGAGGTTCGCAGAGGAAGCAGAACCAGCCGTGTCTTCGCGGAGAGAAGCCAAACGACCATCTCGTCTATCTCGTAAAGCATCCTTCTGCTTGAGTGTCAGAGCTCTTTGAACAGCGATACAACATTACGTTGAGGCTGGGCGCAGTGGCTTACACCTGTAATCCCAGCACTTTGGGAGGTAGAGGCCTGCAGATCACCTAAGGTCAGGAGTTTGAAACCAGCCTGGCCAACATGGTGAAACCCTGTCTCTATTAAAAATGCAAAAATGAGCCAGGTGTGGTGGCGCATGGCTGTAATCCCAGCTACTCAGGAGGCTGAGGCAGGAGAATCTCTTGAACCCTGGAGGCAGAGGTTGCAGTGAGCCGAGATCCTGCCACTGCACTCCAGCCTGGGCGACAGAGCAAGACTTCATCACTTGGACAATCCGTCTGTGTTGTATCATTTCCTGAAAGTTGCAAATATTGTTCAATGTTAATTACATAATTTTACTTTTTCTGAGCAGAAAGAGGAAAAGGGAGAGTGAGGAGACAGAAAGTGAAGCTGGTGCATTTCTGACTCCCCGGGCGCACCCACAGGGCTTTCTCGTACTTGGTTCATCGCGATGGGAAACCATAATTAACCAATTCTGAGAACTTTCAAATGCTTGTGACTCTGCGTGATCAGTGTGACTCTCCACAACAGATTTTGCAATGAATTTAAGTCACTGTTTCTGGAATAAATCATATGCGACTCTTCCCTTTAGCAAACTTTTGACGTGGTATTTTTCTAATTTGGGAAATTGTAATTAGCCAGAAACCAAAGCCTACTGACTGTGAGACGCAGGCTCGCTCCCCAAGTGAATCTCTTGGGCAGAACCCATTGTAGTCTCTGGGGTGTCCACAGTCAAGAATGAGACTTGACTGAAGTTAAGCAAGGCATGGGAGCACTTTTCTGCTCACCGCCTCGCAAGTTCCCATATGGTCCTAGGCAAGTTGTGGCCTCTCTGTGCCTCAGTTTCCCCATCTGTGAAGTAATGGACTAAGTTTCTGACAGCCCTCTGGCTACCAGGATTCTAAGAGCCAGGAGGACCCGGTAATCCCACTGTTAGGTGTATACCCCAAAACGTTTAGAACAGGTGTTCAGACAAAAAATTATACATGAATATTCATAGCAATATTATTCACAAGAGTCAAAGGAATCTAATTCAGTCATAAAAACAAATGAGGTCAGGCGCAGTGGCTCACGCCTGTAATCCCAGCACTTCGGGAGGCCGGGGTGGGGGTCAGATCACCTGAGATCAGGAGTTCGAGACCAGCCTGGCCAACATGGTGAAACCCCATCTCTACTAAAGTTACAAAATTAGCCGGGTGTGGTGGCCAGTGCCTGTATTCCCAGCTACTTGGGAAGCTGAGGCAGGAGAATCACTTGAACCTGGGAGGCAGAGGTTGCGGTGAGCCGAGACCTCACCGTTGCACTCCAGCCTGGGCAACAAGAGTGAGACTCTGTCTGAAAGAAAAGTGAAGTATGATACGTGCTACAGCATGGATGCACCTTGAAAACATTATGCTAAGCTCAAGAAGCCAGATGACTATATATCGTGATATTTGGGATTTCATTTATATGAAATGTCCAAAATAAGCAAATCCTACATACAGAAAGGAGACTGGAGGCTTCTCCGGACTCATGGGAGGGCTGTGGGGGTTGAGTGCTGAACAGGTATGGAATTTCTGTTTGGAATAGTACAGAACGTTCTGGAACTAGATAGTGGTGATGCTTTCACAGAAGGCGAATGCACTTAATTCTACTATACTTTAAAAGTTCAAATGATAAATTTTATATGTATCTTACTACCATCACCAAAAAAAAAAAAAAAAAATCCTACTTCCCCCACTATGCACAGCTCTGGCAACTGAGGCACTCATTTGGGGGAGGAGGGGTGCATGGCTAAGTGTTCACCCTTCCCTGGCTTTTCAGAGATGTTATCTAGTTCATCCTTCTGCATCGGTGCTTCTCTGACTATTCTAGTTGTGCCTAGGAACATTTTCCTTTTGACATCTAGTTCTTAATATGTTTACTCACACACGTGTGCACACGCACACACACACACGCACACACGAGTCAAACGGTTCTGCTGGCACGCTGTTTCTTTTGACTGCCCTCTCTTTTTGTGACATGTCGATTATACCTCTCAAAGCCTCTCCATGGTAGACTGAGTTCACTCTGGGGGCTGGAGCCAGAGAGGATTAATGCCAAGGCTTGCAGTCAGCCCCTAGCTGAGAGCTGGGAGCATTTGCCACATCTGTAGTGGGAGTGCCTGGGACCTGACGGGAAGATGCACAGAGATGGCCTGTGAGTGCACATCCCTCGCCTCCATCGGCGGGCTGCCCACAGTCCAGGGTGCACCCAGCCACTCTGAAGACCACTTCAGGCTGGTTCTGGGCTCAGAGACCCTCAAGGGGCTGGTGCCTTGATGGGATTCCTGCTCTGTGTGTGCAGGTGCTGCTCCCAGAAGACAGGGAGATGCCGGAAGGGTGGCAGTAGATCGTTCAGCGCTGGGTGCTTGTTCTCCTTCGGTTGCTGTTTTCTTTTCTTCTCCCTGATCTGTGCACCCTTTGGGTGCTCCTCGGCCACCTGTGTTTGAGACACTGTCAAAACCAACCACCTGAGAGGCTGATTGCTCTCAGGGCTCCCTCAGCCATGACCCCATCCTGTTTCTTTTAAAGACAGCATCACCTTGGTGACCTTATGCAGTCAGATTTTGAGACACTTCCAGAAACCCCAGAGATGGTGTTGGGCTCCAGGACTGTGTGAGTTGTCAGCATCCAGACGGAGGGCCCAGGAGAACACAGAGCACATCCTGAAGGATCTCACCAGGGCAGAGTTGCCAAAGCAGACAAGAACTCACGGGGTGATGCTGCTGCTCCCCCGTTCCCGGTCCCATTGCCAAGCAAAGAGAAAGCCACCAGTGGGGAGGGACAAAGGGAAAGAGATTTCCCAAAAGCTGCAGAGAGAGAAAACTCCAGATGGAGATGGGAGGACAGGACGCTGGGGCCCTGGTGGCTTCCTTAGTTAAGTTGTGCAGTCGGCTTGACAGTAACATGGGTCACCCTCAAGCCAGACACATCTTGGTCTCATGGCCCCATCAGTCACCGCCGCAGGGGTTCTTCCCACAGCTGCCGAGGCATAGAGCCCAGCTGCTTTGATTCATGAGCACATTATTCACATTTGTAGCACAGCACGCTTGCTTTTCCTGGGGGACAATCTGCTCTCCTTTCTGGCCACTTCTGCTTCTTGGCAACCACACTGGAGGCTCTACCATGTCCACCCCATGCTCTTCATGTCTGGGGACCCTGGAGCCAGCATTGCAGTGAGCGCAGGGTAACTAGAAAGGGTATCTCCATCATCGATTTTCCAACTGACTTTCAGAAGCACCATTTGGATGCCCTGAGCCAGGCCATACCCTTGGGCTCCTGGTGTACAGTGTCCCTCCCTTGTCCCCTCCACTCCTCCTCCCATTGGATGCCCTGAGCCAGGCCGTACCCTTGGGCTCCTGGTGCGCAGTGTCCCTCCCCTGTCCCTTCCGCTCCTCCTCCCAGTCCTTCTCACTGTTCCTGAAGGCTAGAACTTGGTGTCAGAGCATGCATGGAGTCAGCGTCCCTTTTATCACACTTGCCACCACCTGACTGCTGGTGGACCCCATTTCAGACCTCCCACCTATCCATGGTCTTGCTTTTCAAAGTTTCAGTTTACAGTCAACCACAATCCGAAGTTATTAAATGGAAAATTCTAGAAATAAACAATTGATAAGTTTTAACTTGCACATCGTTCTGAGTATCTTGATGAAATCTTGAGCTGTCCTGCTCTGTCCCACCTGTCTCTCTGTCATCAGATGGAAAAAACATATAGTGCATGCAGGGTCCACGCCATCCTTGGGCTCACCCATCCACTGGAGGTCTTGGTGTGTCTCCCTTTGGATAAAGGGTCTCCTGCAATTTTTTCCCACTGAGGTGCCGTGGTCCAGGCCAGCAGGGATGGTCAACCACAACTGTGGACGGAACACCACAGCCATACCGTGGACGGATCACAGCGGGGCCATTAGGCTGCTATTTTAGAGGTCACAGAGGTGAACACGCAGTGAGCTCGTGGCGTTTGCTGATGCAGGCCCTTCCTACCGTCTGCTTCCTAAAGCTGACTGTTTCAAGTCCAGCAATCATAAGTAAAAAAGCAAAAGAATAACTGGCTAAATTAAAATTCTGAACTTTCATATACCAAAAAACTATGACAATCAAAAATTTTAAAAGAACCAGGAAGAAAATATTTACAATTTATTTTGCAATGGATTAATGTTCTTACTAGAAAAAAATGGCCTTTAAAAAAAGACAATTACCTAGTAGAAAAATATGGGTAAAAAATATGAATTCATAAAAGGAGAAATTCACTTGGCCAGTAAACGCATGCAACGTTGAGCTTCAACAATATCCAAGGAATTTGGAATAAAACAGGAAGATACTATTTTTTATTACATTGGAAAAACATATAAGTATAATCTCCAGTATTGGGGAAGGTTGGGGAACCAGGCCATCCTACTAGCCCGAGGGAAGAAAACCTGCACAACTTTCCTAAAGGAATTTTGACGGCAGATAAGAAAAGATCTAGGACTGGAAATGCCCTTTGCACGAACAATTCCATTCCCAGGACTTACCTTAGGTGACTAATGGCAGAGCTGCCTAGCAACAAAGACATTTCACATCAGCTTCATTCACGTTAGTGGGAAATTCAAATGTCATTATTGGATAAAGCATGCTTTGTCCGCAGGCTGGAACAGTATACAGCCCGCAGGTGTGTGTTGTCGGTGGATGTTCAATAGCGTGACGGCCGTGACGTGGAACGGAGCAGTCCATACGACCTCAGGTTGGAGAACCGGCGTGTGTGCGTGCACGCGTGGGTGTTTGTCCTGAGACAGTGGCGAGAATGAATGTTTCCGGACCATAAGTTTGATGAAAGAGCTTCCTTTCCTTCCTATGGGTTTGAAAAAAAATTATTTCTAGATTTTCTACAAATGCCCTGTATTACTTCTGCAATTTGAGAACACAAATACAGAGGAGCCCAGTGCTTTGTAAAGACAGTGTGGAGGGCACAGGCTCACCCACTCTCCCTCCAGAAAACGGCATCTACCCCCAGTCCCATCATAAGGCGGTGCCGTGAAGACACAGCTGCCTTCCGCTAGGAATGTCCTCACTGGGACTCCCACTGGGGGTGACGACGAAGGCTCTCACTGAAGGAATAGAAAAGAGTGGCCTGAAAAATCTCGTTTTCTATCTCCTGCCGCCTACACTAAAGACGCCCGTCCATCATTTTCACGGGATGCCTTCACGTTAGGATAATTTGGAAGGTTGCATCCGGATGTATCAGTGTGGCTGCCCGGTGCAGCTGACGCCATCCTTTGCAGTGAGGGCTGAGTGGTCCCAGCTCTCCCGGCTGGCCCTTACCCGCTGGGCACTTCCTGAATGGCACTTCATGCTGGGACGCCAAGCTCATCCCCACGCTCTTTTAGATGTCAGCATCCTCATTTCTTCTGCCTTTTTTTTTTTTTTTTTGGTCACTCCTCTCTGTGTATTTGGGGATATCTGTTCTTAACCGTAAACCACTTCAGCTTCGTGGAAGCAAGTGGGAAAAAACCACAGTGAGCTCCTCGGCTGTTCCCTGAACTCGGATTCAGAAGAGGTGCTTTGACCCCCAACTCAGTCAACGGAGCTAGAAAAAGTCCTTTCTCAGCTACTAGAGGCGTTTTACTCACCTTTTACCAGATCAAAAATGAAAACCACGTGTCCCCCTGGCCTTGCTGATGAATGACGAATGTGTGGGACTGAGGAGAGCCTGGGGTAGAGTGGCCACCCCTGCCTGGGCATCCCTGCGTGCCAGCTTCTCCAGAACTGTGGCCCTGCTGTTAGCAGCCTCGTCTTGACGGGGGAAGCACCATGCCACACAGCCCCGGAGGCTGCAGACCAACCAGGCATGGAATCTCTCCTTTCCTTTCAGATTCTTCACCATAATCTAATTTTTGTTAAGCCTCTCTTCCTTTGCACCCTGGGCTACATTTGACGCATATTTCTGGCAGATTCTGGGACCACCCTTGCCAGATGAGCAAATCCTTTTCAGAGAGATGACTGAAATATTTGTAAGTTTCCATCAGCATGAGGGGAAGGGGTCGGAGGTGTGGGGCGGGGGGACCTCCCCGGCTGTGCTCTGGCGTCCTCTCTGCTCCACATTGTGCCCCAAACACGCGACCGTGAGCAGTGATGGGCGGCTGGTACTCAGCTGGAAGACACACATGCTCACTGCTGTGCAGACATGAAGAAACCAGGAGGTTAACGGCCAGGGTTGGTCCCCTCCGCGGGCCTCCTGCATGAATCAGAGCCGACTGGGAGCAGGAGTGACTCACAGCCATGGCGTTTTGTCTTCTGCCTGTGCAAATAAACAGAGCAGGAAGGTTTGAATGGGCCGGGCCTGGAGCAGAGAGCGGGGTTGGAGGCGGCTCCCAGTTCCAAGGCGCGCCCCACCCGGCCCCCAGGCCAGGGCAGCCTGGGGAGGGGAGAACTAAGGGCACCAGGCAGCCCACCCGCCTGGCCAAGGCCAGCGGGGCAGGGGCAGAGAGGCTGGTATCCCAGGGCGTAGGGGAGGTGGGAGGGCGTGGGGGCCTTAGCTTGCTCTGTGGGGGACACTGCCCTGGGGTCCACCCTGTCCCGGGGTCCACTTGGCACAGACACCCACCAGGCCTGCACCCCATGCCTTGCACCCTGCCCCTGGGAAACATCCGTGGGGCTGTCCCCTTCTCTGAGCACCTGTGAGGGGTCCTCAAGGTTTTCCTCTCCTTAGGGCCCCTGGAAAGTCCAGAGTCAGGGGTGCGTGGCTGGGTCAGGCCTGAGATCCACCCAGGAGCAGAGAGATCCAGAAGGCCTGCAGGGGGGACCGGGAGGATGCACCCACTGCGGGGCTCAGCTGAAGGCATAGACAGAGCAGTGGGCAGAGCCAGGAAGTGAACCCAGCCAGTCTGTTGTCTAAAATATGAGATTTTTCCCTCCAGGCCAAGTACGGCTCCATCCTACTGAGTTGTGTCATTATGACTGGGGCTCTCTGCTTCAAACGACGGCACACTGGGACCTCCCCACACCGCAGGGAGTACCTCGGAGAATGAGGGGGGCCTGGATGTGGGAGCCTCCAGGTCCAGAAGTGGCAGATCAGACCCCTGCCCCACACACGTCACCCACCTGGCGTCTCTGGGCCCTGGGTGACCCAGCCTCATGCCTGCAGGGTGAGTCTTTGAATTTGCAGGTCCAGGGCCAGCTGTGCTGTCTGCTCTTTTTTTTTTTTTTTTTTTTTGAGACAGAGTCTCTCTGTCACCCAGGCTGGAGTGTTGTGGCATGATCTCAGCTCACTGCAACTTCCAACTCCCAGGTTCAAGTGATTCTCCTGCCTCAGCCTCTCGAGTAGTTGGGACTACAGGTGCATGCCACCATGCCTGGCTCATTTTTTGTACACACACACACACACACACACACACATTTTGAGTAGAGACGGGGTTTCACTGTGCTGGCCAGGCTAGTCTCAGTCTCCTGACCTCGTGATCCACCTGCCTCAGCCTCCCAGACTGCTGGGATACCAGGTGTGAGCCACTGTGCCCGGCCCCATCGGATCTTTTGGAACTTGCTTTTCTGCTATGGCATTAGACACATTCTCCAACCCAGAGGACCCTCACTACCACTGCTCAGAAGTCTTTTCATATGTGGCATCACGAATGCACGATTTAGGTGGTCTCCGCAGGTAGGGAGCAATCCCCGCTGTCTCCGCAATGTCGTCTTGGGTGGCGGTAGCACCATTCGCCGTGATGAACCGGTTCCAGTGATTCTGTCACGCAGTGCCCAATCAGCCCTTCTTCCTGGCCCAGTCTCCTGGGTCTGCTGTCCCCTCTTCAGGTCCTTCTTTGCGTGGTTAGCCCAGGCGCCCTTCTCTGTCACTGACCTAACTCCATCGCTTAACCTGTTAATGGAGCAGTGTGGACGATGCACCCCACACCGTGTCTGGCATTCCCCAGGCCCACTGAATGTTGGCTCTTTTCCGCCTTTCACCTGCTGCCAGCGGGATGACCGCGCCTCCCAGACACTGCCCCAGGTTCCCCATTAAATGGGTTCTGCCTGCTCTCCTGTGAGCCGCCTCTAACCCTGGACACCCTCTATGGTGAGCTCCCCAGGCCAGGAGTGTGTCTGTCCTTTTCACCCTGTACCAAGCAGCAGCAGCAGTTGCCAGGAAGAGCAGGGGTGAGGTGAGCAAACCCAAGTGCTTGTTCTTCAAGCATGGTGCCTTCAGCCAGCCGCAGTGGCTCATGCCTGTAATCCCAGCACTTTGGGAGGCCAAGGAGGGCGGATCACGAGGTTAGGAGTTCAATACCAGCCTGGCTGACATGGTGAAACCCTGTCTCTACTAAAAATACAAAAATTAGCTGGGCATTGTAGCCCATACCTGTAATTCCAGCTACTCGGGAGGCTGAGGCAGGAGAATTGCTTGGACACGGGAGGCAGAGGTTGCGGTGAGCTGAGATTGCACCACTGCACTCCAGCCCGGGCAACAGAGCAAGACTCTACCTCAGGAAAATAAAAAAGGCACGTTTTTTTCATGTTCCGTGGCTTCGCGCTGCTCTCCTCCAGCTAGAATCTCCCCGACGCCTGCCAGGACCGCCTCCAGTGCCCCCTTCTTGGGGAGCCTCTGGCCACCCCTCCTGGTGGCATTTGTGGTGACTCCCACGGCCTTGTACGTCCCTTAGTGGCCTGGTGGCTGTGACGATCTGTCTGTCGTGCCAGGAGCACTTTCAGGACCCTGTCCTTGTCATGTGTCCGGATGCCTGGCTCAGCCCGTGCCCTGCCCAAGTGGGGGTCATGGGGGGGCCCTCTGTTTCCCCACCAAGTACCCAAAGAAATTACCCTGTTCTGATGCAAAAGCACATTTTCTGTGCGTCTGTGATTTACAATTCCCTCGCTGCCTTCAGAACGGGACGCACTCGGCCGCCTGCGGGTCTTGTGTTTGCCCAGACAGAGGAGCCAGCCTGCTTTTTCGAGGGCCTTTTCCATTCTCGAAGTCAGCAGTTGGAGGGAAGGAGGCTGGCTGTAAAGTGGGAGGGGCCACAACCCCTGAATTTCTTCTGCAGAAGAAAAGGGGTAGAGGCGGAGAAGGAGAGAGGGAGAGGGAGGCTGTAGGACCACCTAGTCCCGAGACGTCAGGGGGAAAGCGATTCATCTGATCTGGGATGCAAGACTATTTTGGGGAGTAGAATGCCCTGCCTGCAACACACACACACACACACACACACACACACACACACACACACACACACGCACGAGTCCTCAGTAAAATACCCCGTTCTCGCCAGGCTTTCTGTAGTGGCTCTGGGGGTAGGGGCACAATAGAGAGGTCACAGCGGGCTCTTGGGGCGGTGTGGGCTGAGGAGGAGGCTGTGTGGAGAGAGTTGTGGCTGGGAACCCTTCAGTAAACGGAAAAGAATCTTTTCCCCTTGGCACAGACCTGGCACGGAGGAGCTGTCAGCAAGCAGGCATGGGAAGATTGAGAGCACAGAGGGGTGGCTGAGGTGCAGGCTAGATGCCAGGCGGACGCTGGCTGGAACCCTTAGGCATTGAGTGCCCTGAATCTAGAAACTGAAAATGCAGTCATACTTCATCAGAAAGCAGCTGACAGCGAGTTAGGGGGCCAGGAGGGAAGCTCTTCCCAGAGTCGAGGGGTGCCCCTCGATGGCCAGAGGGAGAGGAGTGTGGGTCAAGAGCTGGGGATGGCCAGGTGGCCCTGGGACCAGGCAGAAGGAGCAGGTGGGCTGAAGAAGGCATTGGGGCAGACTGTGGTCAGCGGAAGGCATGAGAGGGGCCGCCCTCCCGCGTGCAGTGAGGCTCGGAAAACGTGTGGCACGCAGAATAATGGAGTTCCAAGAAAAGCTGTGGTTAGGAAGGTGGCTGGCATTCTGGAATTGCCTCCCTGACCCCCTAAGCCACCCACTAAGGCAGCATCCCTCAGACATCAGCCCCATGCCCTGGGGTTCCTCTGGGTGCACCTGCCCAGGAAGTCGGGCTTTCTGCACGTGGCTCCCAGGGGCTCTGCTGAGAAGCCTTTAGACATCGTCTAGTCCAGCCCCTGGGCCTTTTCTGGGGCACGGATGGGAGCTGGTGAGCTCCAGGCCTCAAACTCAACTGCCCATATGCCGGGAGCCCCGTGCCCCACAACCTGCTCTGGTAAACCCTGAGCTTCTGTCAGATGACACAGCTGAGCAGGGTTTGGGAAAACAAAAACAACCCAAACCTGCCCACTTGGGTCAGGGCAGGGTAGAGCGTCTCAGTGGGTCAGGGCATGGTCAGGCGGATCCCAGTCTCCTCCCATTCCACATCCCTCCATCATTCGATGGGACTGCAGGAACCCAA